ACAGAACAAAACAGCAGCCGTTCTTGCTGCAAGAAAAAAAAAAAAAAAAAAAAAAAAAAAAAAAAAAAAAAAAAAAAAAGAGGATGACCTGGATAACCCGAAAGGCCTTTCTCTCTGGGCTCGCTTTGATTTCAGCAATCTAATCCTTCAGGGATGGAGGAAATGGTGTAGGAGGCGCTTTGCTTTAAGTTCCCGAGTGAACTTAATTCTGATGGAAGGTGCTGCGCCGACATCCTGCAAGACAAAAGCTTTCTATTCATCCCTAGAGCAGATACAACACCGACAGGGGTACATTTCCCCACTGGCTTCACCAAACGGAGCCTGGTCCAGGCATAGAGATAGAAAGCAAGCAGCACCCTTTCGCGCCTGTTTCCTGTTTCCCTTCATAGCTTCATAATATCAGAGGAGACCTTGGCTGCAAAGATCTGCCCTCAAACTGAATCCGTGGCTTTTGCCCAATCCTTTCCACAGAAATGCTACTCTGAAAGAACCAAATAGAACATTTTAACTATCTATCTAGGAGGCATTAAATAAAGCGAACTGTTTTCTAGGGATGATAAAAGGCTTTGATCTCACTTATTCTCGTTCACACATGGAAAAATATAAAGTTATTTGGGCAATTGGATCTACATGCCCTCAGCGACTAAGTCATAAATAGCGGTTTTATATAGCTGTTTTCTATACTTCCTCTCTCCCTGCCTCTAAGGTCCCTCTCATCCTTACCTTCCGGATCATAATGGCTGCCCCTTAAGTTTGCTTTGAGCATGCGCAAATGAGGGATCTTAGTTCTAGGAAGTTAGGGTACAGAGCTTCACCCCCCAGATGCTGAGCCCACTGCGTCAGACCCTTGAGCATTCTCACCCATCCCTCCCTGAGTGGCTGGTTTCTTATTTTCTTTACTTAAACTTTTAAAGAAATGGATCAGATGTAATAGCAACATTCTACATATGTACAAAACGGTAGCGTCCAAGATTCAGCTATTTGATCATCATTGTAAGATGTGTGCAAAAAAAAAAAATGGGTATTTCGTTTCCTGTATCTTTCTTCTGTCCCAATCCAACAACACTGAAACAACAATGGATTGACAATCTCTCTTTAAACATCGATCTCACCATGCCACAATGAAGATATTTTCATCTGCATTTCTGTACTCAAATTTCCAAATTATGAGACTGGAATGCATGCTAAGATTTTTATTTTCATTTGGCCAGCTATATCTCCCATCCATGTAAGCCATTGAGGGAAAATCCTCAATTCAGTGTCTGGTACAAGGGGTGTAATCTAGTTGGTCATGGGTCTAACTGCTGGTCTCAGAGATGTTACCCATAAGGAAGAAAAAAAAAAGTTCAATTTTGACTACACTTCTGTTTTCTACAGTGATTGATAGCAATCTTCCATATTCAGATGATGGATAGATCCAATTACTAATCTATTTCCTACAAAAGATTCTTCTTACACTGCAAAATACTTGGGAGCAACCCATGACTTTCCAGTGGTCCCACAAGGGTTCAGATGGCGTCCCAGCTCATGCCTGTCCACAGAGATCGACACTTGCTTTCTCTCTTTTTGTTGAAGTTTCAAAGGAATATCTTAGTGAGAAGAGAGAAATCAGGACTCCTCAGGAAGGACTTGTTACCTTTGATTTCCTGCCCCTTCATCACAGACAAAGGCCTGCTATACAGTTACCTCCAACTGGCACATGGTGTGCGTAAGAGAGCATGGTGTATTAGTAATGAGTCCTGTGAGAATCTGAGGAACCTGACCCAACATCCCACTCTCAGAGAAACAATCTAAAGCCTGTAAACACATTGCTTTCCAGTTAGTCTGAAAGGTTTTCTTTTCCCCATAGTTTAGTTAATATTTAATGATAGTTAACAGTTAAATTTAGATAATAGTAACACTATGGATGCTGACTTCTCAACTGTTTTAAATCATTTTTTATTTATCTATTTATTTTACATCCTGGCCACAGCCCCCCACATCCTTCTCTCCCAGTCCCTCTCCTCCATTCTCCTCTCCCAACCCCCAATCCCCTCCTCTTCTGTCTCTTTCCAGGAGAGGGCAGGTCTCCTATGAGTATCAATAAAACATGGCATATCAAGTCGCAGTAAGACGAAGCACCTCCCCATGTATTAAGGCTGGGCAAAGCCACCCAGTATGAGGACTAGGGTACCAAAAGCCAGTAAAAGAGTCAGAGACAGCCCATTCCCACTATTAGGAGTCCAATCAGAGGACCAAGCTACACATCTGCATATATGTTACAAAAGTTTTTTTTTTTTTAAATTAAAATCACAGGGGCAGGAGAGATGGCTTAGCAGTTATGAACACTGGTTACTCTTGCAAAGGACCCAGGTTTGATCCAAGCACCCCTCATGGTGTTTCACAACCACCTGTCTCAGGTTCTAGGGAATCTGCTTTCTTCTGACCTCCTTAGGCACAAAGCATGTGCATTTGTGCAGACAAAACACCATACTCATAAAACAAAATAAGTAAATCTAAAAATAATTAGATCACAGAAAAATCAAACAAGCAAGGATTGTTTCCATGGGAAATGAGAATAAAGTAATTGAGCATCTAAATTTCTATTGGTAAGACATGGTCAGATTAAAAAAAAAAATGCCACTCAGAGAACAATACCCTCCCATATGATCTGACCACCCAAACTTCTTCCAGCTTCAGAACTCATAGTCTCCACAACTGGCCCAGCTAGTGGGTGGCGGTTCTCTTTAAAAAAAAAAAAAACCTACCTTATAATATAAACTGTAATAGAGTATAGTTATGAGAATCTCTGCACTGAATCTCTCTAGCTACAAAAATTACCTGTATCTACTCTTGTCTTTTCTTTGACTCCCTTCTATTTCCAACAATGAAAGTGAATTACCACTTTAGTAGTCTTTCAACATTTAAAAGGGAGAATCATTTGTCAAGTATCACCTCCAAATGAGGACCACACCCATTGCCAGAGCATAAAGCAACTAGCAAAGTTTAAACTCTCCAACACATGAAGAAAGGAAGCAAAGACCTTGCATGTCTGTGTCTAGTACTCTGGTCGTGGCTTATTTGAGGTCATGTCACAGATATTTTACAAAGGGGCATTCTTGGTTGAAAGAACCTAATGTCACTCCTTATATTCAATCATTTCCACATGGTTCTTGGGCTCATTTTCTAAGTTATAAGGTAAACTCCCATTCAGCTGGGTTGCCTACCAAGTAAAGACGCATTTATTCTGAACAAATAAAATAAGTCCTAGGGCTTAAAAAGAGTTTTTCTAGGACTGGGAGATAGCTCCATTGGTAAGTGCCTACTGTGTGAGCATGAAACCTGAATTCAATGCCCAGGACCCAAGTGAAATGCTAAGCAAGATAGCTCATTCTTGCAAGTTCAGTGCTGGGGCAGGTGGACATAGGCAGATCTTTGGAGTATTTGGGCTGGTAACCAGCCAGCCTACTTGTGAGCTGCAGGTCAGTGAAAGAACTTATCTCAAAAAACAAGTAGATGGTTCCTAAGGAAAAGCATCTAAACTTGACCCCTGGGTTTCACACACACACACACACACACACACACACACACACACACACACACACACACACACACACTCTCTCTCTCTCTCTCTCTCTCTCTCTCTCTGCCTTTGTGTTTATACACTGAATCTACTTCAGTGTAATCCTATTCCAATATAGCTTGAATTCCACAGC